GTCCTATCAGGCCTGTTTTAGAGAATGACCACCTTGGTGGGATTGGTTTGTTTTAAATTGAAAAAGGAAACTACTTATAACTACTATTTACAACTACAACTAACCTACAACTACTATATACACCTAATCTACTATATACAAATTGCATTTTCTGATAAATTACATTTTTGTGCAAATTTAGTGTTAATTTCGTTAATTCTGGAATCTATTTTCGCAATACCTTCCTCTTCGTGTAAATTTGTTATTCTAGTGTCGAAAGGACGATCAAGAACCATCCTCAGCACTCTATTTTGAGCGACCTGAATTTTGTTCCTGTGAGTCTGTGCACATGATTCCCACACCGGAGCTGCGTAGAGGATCGCAGGTGCTATGATTTGTTTGTAGACAGCCAGTTTGTTCACCTTTGAGAGGCGGGATCTGCGGCAAATCAGCGGATACAGACATCTAACCAAGGCAGAACACTTGATTACAGTTTTCTCTACATGCGAACGGAAGAGGAGCTTTTCATCAAACAACATCCCGAGATAGGTAACTTCGACTGCCCCGTAACGTGGGTAGATCACCTTTTCGTGGTACGTTACGGGATGTAAGATCTACCACCGATTCCTAGTCCCGACTACTTCAAACTAGGGGAACAGGATTTTTCAGTAATCCAAGGAACACATCTTAGTCCTTATTACTTTTTATGCCTTGTTGATAGTGACAAGACTCGGCTTTGTCTACCAAGGATGATCTTGAAACAAGGCAAAAAATGAGTTAGTTGTCTTCATCTATGTGATTCCTAATTTTCTATCCGTTGTTCCCTAGTTCCTGACTACTTCAAACTAGGGGAACAGGATTTTTCAGTAATACAAGGAACACATCTTAGTCCTTGTTGATAGTGACAAGACTCGGCTTTGTCTACCGAGGATGATCTTGAAACAAGGCAAAAAAATGAGTTAGTTGTCTTCATCTATGTGATTCCTAATCTTCTCTTCGTTGTTCCCTAGTTTGAAGTGGTTCAGACTAGGGTTCTGATGCATGGTCATTATCGGTGTCATACCTTAATTTTGTTGCTAAGGAATCCAATTTTGACTGACAAAGGGGCGCGCCTTTGGAGGGTGTTTCAACACTCCGAAGGCTATAAATAGCGGGACCTTTCAATTAGTCTCGGATCCTTGCGATAAATGCAAGAGTGGCAACTGTAAAAAAAATCGAATGCTTCATCATTTCTCAATAGTGATGGAGTAATACGACATGCACTAAACTAAGGACACGGGATATACTACAATAGATCAATTTACTGGTCGCAGTAGTGTTAGGTCCCGAACAGAGGAAAAAAAAAAAAACTTCGACAGGCCACTCCCTTGTGCCATCCATGATTACAGTACAAGATGGAACCGGTTTCAGTTTGGGCGATGAAATAATCATTCTTTAATTTGAAATTTTGTTTGACTTTTCTTATTTTTCATAGGATTCACCGTTTCTTGTGAAATGAAGACTGTCAGTATACCGAGCAGTAGACGAGTGCACGGATGGATTTGAGTTCACTCACTCGACAAAAAGTGACACAACAGCGGGGCCCTGTTTACTAAAAATGAACACATGAATAATACTCACGTAACATTTGAAACCGGCCTATCAACTTTCGTACACAAAACTTGTTAAGCCTTTTTCGCGCGAACCGAATACGCCCACGCAAACTAACATCACCATTGGGTAGGGGAAATTCCCCCCTTTCCGATAGTGCTCTTGGTTTGCGTGGACGTACTTCGGTTCTCGTGGAAAGGACCTAGCAAATTATTTACAAAAGTTGGTGGGCCCTTTTCAAATGTTACGTGAGCATTATTCATGTGTTCATTTTTAGTAAACAGGGCCCCGCTGTTGTGTCAAATTTTTTTCAGTAGATGAACAAAAGTTCACCCTTGCACTCGTCTGTAGACGACCTGGTATACGATATGCAATTTTTATGGCATACAGCAGAAAAATAATCAAAATGGTATCACACCACCACGATTCGTTAGTTGGGTCAACTGACAGAAGGCTAAAATTTGTTGAAGGGTATGCACATCCTTTGTCCTGAGAAGATTTAACAAAAAACATTTCGGATTAAGTTGCTTGAAACTGAGTGGAAAAAGTGAAACACTAATATGCTTAATATGGTGGTTATTCCAAGAGTCGAAGTGACTTTTGTCACTAGTGAAGTGAGAAAAGTCACGTCGTGGTAACGTGACTCTCCATTTGATTTGCACAGGGGCCACGTCACCACGACGTGACTTTTCTCACTTCACTAGTGACAAAGTCACTTCGACTCTCGGAATAACCCCCGTTGTTCATTAAACACACATTTAACGGTCAATTTAAATGTTTTTAGTTGGTAGTACCACCACCTGTGGCGCGCATAGTCAATTTCATTGGGTCCACATAGAAAAAAATACCATAAATTCAAGTTCTTTTTATTTAATTTTGGGTTTTGCATCCCACTCTCACTTTTTGTTGTTGTCAAAAACGGAACGAGAGATTCGACTTTCTCATGACTATCGTTCAATAAGCTATTAGTAGTGTATTAGATATTCTCAAATTTGAGTCAATTGAACTTAATTTTTTGGTGGGAAATACTCACGAGTAAGTAATTATTTTTGCCGTAGTCAAATGTAAACTACTATAACTGCCTATAACCCCATATCAGTCCCATATGGAAAAAGTAGGCATTTAGAAAATGGCGTTGAAGTTAAGAAGTGCAATTTCCATGTAAATATTAAAATAATCATAGTAAATTAATCGACAATTTTGTCAAGTTAAAATCAGTTGCAATCCCGCATAAACGCGAACCATAATTTGACCTTACCGATAATAATTATAAATTGTTTATAATCCCTCCTAAACTTTAACTGAAATGATTATGGAACTTTACATGAACGTTTGTGTGATAAAGTTTTAACCTTATGTATTATTGTTTTTTGAAAGCGGACCTCACAAATAATGGGTTGTTAAGAACCATTACCATTCAAAATTCTTGTTTTCTCTATACATTTTCGAAAAGAGAACTATATTATAACGTTTTTACTTATGGTTTGAGAACATTAATGGTTATGGTTATGATAGTCAGTAAGGTCCATTAATGGTTTTGTATTATCGCTCAACTTTACGTGGAATATATCGTGAATTGGTAATCAGTAATTTACAGGCAACCAATTCGCGATATATTCCACATAAAGTTGATCGATGTTACAAAACTATTCATGGACCTTACTGACTACCATAACCATAATCATTAATGTTCTCAAACCATAAGTTAAAAGGTTCTAATATAGTCCTCCTCCCGAAAATATAAGGAGAAAACAAGAATTTTGAATGGTAATGGTTCTTAACAACTCATTATTTGTAAGGTCCGCTTCCAAAAAACCATAATACATAAGGTTAAAACTTTATCATTAAACGTTCTTGTAAAGTTCCGTAACCATTTCAGTTGAAGTTTAGCAGGGATTATAAACAATTTTTAACCATTTTTGGTAAGGTCAATTTATGGTTCGCGTTTATGCGGGATCAAGCTTGCATGTATTGTTATATTAACGAAAAATATGGCGATTCAAAAAACAGAAATGTAGCTTGACCTCTGGACGATTGAATTTCAGGATGTGACTGATATGCGAATGCGATTACTTTGTTTGATGGGACAAACTTAGGCCTATTCTGCGTGGCGTGTGAGGTGAGATGACTCGCTGTCACTAGAGAAGTGACAATTGTCACCTAGGGTGAGGTGACTCTCCATTTGATTTGCATGGAGACTCACCTCACCCGAGGTGACAATTGTCACTTCACCATCACTTCACTGTAACTTCACCTCACACGCCGCGCAGAATAGGCCTAACTGACTTGATGTTGTTTTCACATTTTTCATGATCAAAGTCCGTAGTTTTATCACGTAATATGAAAGTAGATGCCAATTGATAGTGGATAGCGTTATTATCTTAAAATTGAAGAAAATCCATATGGGACTGATATGCGATTATAGCAACAATCAATACGAAACTAACGATTTTAAATTGGCTCACCACTTTAGTAGCCTATTGGTCCCAAGCAAACGATTAACGTACCCTATTCTAGTTGAAATTCTATTACTACACTATGTTTGTTTTGATTCGCTATGAAAGTTTGACAGATAACATCAGGGGTGTGTGGATTCATGCAGAACATGCAGGGGTGAGTTTAATAGCTTGGGACTGCTTGGGACCGTTGTTCTGGTACTGAGTGAGCCAAAAATAATAATGATTTTCTTCGGGACCCAGTGGTCTTAGAGTTACCTCTATGTTTATAGGCAGTATAGAGATTTTCACGTCCGATTGTATTGGTGCGGTATGTGAGAGCGTGTTAGTGATAATACGAGGAAAATGCATAACAAATCGCTGTCAAACTCATTTTGGCAGATCTAATTTCATACATTTTGTAGGTTAGCCAGAGGAAAATAATAAACAACTTTACACGGCGGTGCACCCGCTAGTGTGCGTGCGTTAAACGTCACTAATCTCTATAGGCGGTTTACTAAAAATTAGTTTATTGAACGGAACATGGGAGATGAGTGAAAAGAACTTAATTTTGGGTAATTTATCGGTTCCGTGTACCGCAATCTGTTCAGCGTACTGCCTATCACAGTATGCTCAATAGATGGCGTAGTGTTTAGCGACGATGTTTTATATTAAAAAATATGCAATGTGTTATGTCTGTTTGTCTGTGGTGTAACTATTTCTTTCTCTGAGGTATAAAAATCTCTGGTCACTTCTTCCTTCGGAAGGGAAGGGAAGCCGTTGGTCCCGGCCCATGCGTGTTGAATGGGTGCGATATCCTACGCAGGTGTGGAAACTGCCTTCCTTCACATCGATGTACGTCAGTGATTGGCACTAGATTGCGGAACAGAGACCGACGTTAAATAAAGGAAAGAACTATTTCTACCGCAGTAGTCTAACGAGGTACCGTTAGACCTTAATCTGATGCAAGGAATTTCTCTAAACAAGACAACTCAACTTTTCTCCGTAGGCATTGCATCTTCTTAACAGTATTTCAATATTATAAAGTTGTAGCATTCGCTTGATCGTAACGAACATAAATAGCAAATAAATATTGACAGCGACACGCATGTGGTCTACTTACAATAACTTTTTTTCTTCTTATAGCAGTGAATCAACAACATTACTAAGCGCAAATAGGTAGTCCGCCGATTAAAAGTACTTTCAAATACCTTCGAGGATTTCTCCATTCTGTCGTTACTTGCTTTTCTTTGTGTTTATTTCGTAGTTAAGCTTTCTGGGAGTCATAAATTGCTCCAGAATTTCGTCAGTCACATCCTTCCTTTTTACTTGATGTTCCGCAACGATTGGCTGCAGAGTTTCGATAGCAATCTTTTTAATTTCACCACTCAGCAGTTCACCTTTTGTATAGGCGATACGAATACGTTCCAGCTCATCATCATCTAATAGGAAAAAGCGCAATAATTGGAAACTGACATCAATATCCGTATTTCCACCAAACTGACGATGTTCTTCCAATGTAGGCCTTCCACCGGAGAATGCATGCTTGTTGACCTTGTTTTTGATCTGCTTGGGAGTGTCGGTTAGAAAAACGGCCGAATTAACGTCACTTGCAGACATTTTTGTTTTGGCGCCTTGCAAGGCCGGAAAGAAGCTTGAGTGGATCAGTGCTGGTTTTGGGAACCCTAATCGAGGAGATACGTCTCTAGTCATCCGGAAATACGGATCCTGGTCGATTGCACAAGGAATCAACACAGGAAGCTTGTCGTTTCCGAAAATGAAGGGGAACGTCGTTGATAAGGCTGGGGCTGCTTGTGCCGCTGGGAAACCAATTTTTCCTATAACATCCGAATCGCCAAATCCGAAGATACCTTTCACCTGATTGAAGGTTACACATTTTTGAATCCGTATGATATTCTGGTAAAACGCCGGACAACGACCCATGTAATCAAGATTGGCAAAGATGAAGGTCTTGCTTACATCGAAGCCGATGGCAATGATATCTTTAGCATTTTCTCGTGCCATCCTCATCGATTGCTCTACGGTCAAATCCTTCCAGAGTGTTTTTTCATCGTCCGTCAATTGAATCACCAAAGGAACATCAAACGTTTCCTGTAACCACCTGAAATATGTATAATATTATCAGTACCAAAGATAATATATAACTGTAGCAATGCTAATGTAATTGATACAAGCAATATCAAGCGTAAGTTACATCATCAATAATGACCTATATTGAGCCGCAATGCATTTTTCAAAAAAAAAGCAGTTTTTTTAAACCTAAACTGCCGTTATACGCATAACTGTCCCATGTTCTATGCAATCCTTATGCACCGTGGGACTCTTATGCGTAGAACGGCAGTAAAATTCTGGTAATGAAAATGTATTTACTGTATTCTATTGCCAACCGGAATTTCGGCTTTAAACGAAAAATGCATTTTTGAATAATAAATATGTTTGTTCCCTTTCATTGAATCAACGGAAAAAACTTAACTTCTATGGTAGGTCAAGTTATAACTCATGTATACTATGTATTATAATAGGTTTGTATGAGTCACATAGCGATGAAGAGCTTTTAAAATTTAATACTTACTTGGTAACTATGAAAGGTACTAGATGTCCCAAGTGCATCGATTCGGATGATGGCCCTCTTCCAGTGTAGAGATAAAACTTCTTGCCAGCTTCCGCCATGTTAAGTAGTGTGTGTAGATCACGATGCGAGAAGAAAATCCCTCTCCGGATCAGGGGATGAACCGGTTTTCCTGCCACTTTTTCAAGACGTTGAATTAGGGCATCATCTATGTGCGAGCATCCAAAGCGTTCTGAATGAAAACAAAATTAGTCAACGATACCAACGACCCTTTCACATTCCAGACACGGCCAAAAGGGCAACTACTTACTGATCAATTTTTCATAATCGACACCCGTATCCGATTTGCTCGTTACCGTCCATGGGTCTACAAAATCTTCCTCGTCGGCAGCGCTAGTTGAACTACCATTGTTCTCTTCCAGTTTGATATTTTCGACTTCTGGAACATCTGTCATTTCGTCACTGAGTTAACCAAAAAGGCGCTTTACGAGGGTTAAAATCTTGTTGAGGTACCTCGCCAAAAGAACGGATGCAATTTTTCGCGTTCCGAACAAGATTATCAAGCACATGCACTACACACAGCATAGTACAAACCAGCGCCAGCACAGCACCAGTTCAAGAAAAAAAGCAGTGTCAGCGGCAGCGTGCGAGCGAGAGCGGAGAAGTAAATACCAGCTCTGTCAAAAGTTTAACACGGAAAAACAAAACTTTAGAGATGAAAAACTATACACTCAAAGATAAATTAAATCAAAAAAGCTTAAAAAGTATGCAGCTTCCCGCTTCACCTTATTGAGTCTGAGCCATGATTACTTCGGAAGTAGTCATGCATGATTAAATTCGAAATAATCTTTCCATTATTAAATATTACTCTTTTTCAATACTGATACATATATAATCAAAACGGATTAAAATTCAATCAAAAATTATTGAAATAGAATAAAAAATTATTAAAATTTATTCAAAAAAGATTATCTTCAATCTAATCAACCATGATTAAGCTGGGATTAATAGCAAATGCTTAGTTTTTAGAAAGAGAGTATTCATTTTTAATCTTTCGAAATGATTAAACTGAGTTTAATGTCAAATTGATTAAATTTCAGGCGAAGTGGGAATAGTTTAATTTATCAGTGTACCCAAAATTAAGTACTTTTCCCACAATTCCGGGGTTCAGCCCCCAAATTTGAGAATTCGGATCAAGGTTGCAAATACTCTGCTAATGAATGCTAGAAAATCACATTATCAATAGTTTTTAAATTGAATCTCATTTTTGGTTTCGAAAGAAAACTTGTTCATAATTATTAATTTGACTCGTTTATTTATTGGGCAAATATAAGAGAATATTAGCGGGTAAAAATTGCAACAGTCGTATATACAAAACTCGAGCAATTTAGCACTTGACTGCTCTGAAATCAAATATAAAAGTATTACCATATTGATTCAATGATAAAGTTCATAAACTTACTTCATATTTGCACGATGATGATGTTAAAAAGGAACTTTCTAGCCGACTTGCTATTTCTGAACATAAAGATAAAGATCAAAGGAATGTGAAACGCAAAATGATCGAAAGTTTGACAGATCATGCAATTAACTGATCGTCCAGCAAAACTTTCAGGATTGCTGTTTGTTCAGTAAAAACTGCTTGTGCTGGAAGCAGTTCAGCAATCCATTTTGCTGGACCTCGATTTCAATTTTTGGTGTGTGGGCCTTTCTAATAAAAAAATTCCATAAACGAAAGATTATTCTAATGATAGAACTATCCCACAAATGGTTTGGATGAAACCCGGAACACGTCGTTAAGCAAAATAACCATACAATTTTATTAGGGCAGCTTTTGTACACTGAAACAAGGACCATAGTTAGGAATACTATTTTGCAGAAAACACTTATTATCAATATAACCACGCTTATTGCTGTTGAATATACTATGAATTCAGTATAGTCACAAACGAAGTGACTAACCTGCTATTTCAATTTTTTAGTGTACCACATGGCAACACCACTACTACTAGATTGTACCACATGGCAACACTACTACTGGATTGTACTAGCATTTTCACCAAATGTATTAGAATGTTTTGGTTCTATCTCTTTCACTCTACTCAAAACTGAAATGCATAAAAAAAAAAAGAAAAAGTGATACACTCTTTGCACACTGTCAAAGAATCATTGTACACAAAATCAACTTTGTTCAAATCAAAACTAAAAAACTAACCCATCTGGTGGATGATGGCACAAGCTTCCAAGAAAATTCTATTACAGTGAACACTCAAAAAATATTGAAACCTAAATAGTATAAAAGTTACGCTAATTCGCAACTCTCCGTACCGACGCAAAGGTCGGTATAAAGGGAGAGAATGCAAACTTAGTATAAAAATTGTTTATGCGTGCCATAGTATAAAATCGAAATATACACAGCAAAAAAAATGTTGAATATTACATCGAAACTGCTGCAACCAGGTCAATCCATCATCGGTTGTGTAATATCACATTGTACGATGTACATCGATTTTGCGAACAAAATTACATCCATTGATGTAATATTGTATCTGCTTTTTGCTATTACATCATTATTTCATACATTAGCTTGAATTACGTTGATCGATATTACATTTTTTTTGCTGTGTACTTTCAATGCATAGATACAGCTTATTCGAGAGAACGTATTTTTCGCTTCTTTATTTTATTTATGGAAAATATTATTGTTTTCAAATAAAAATAAAAATTGTCTCAGGAAGCCTTTTTAATTAGTTTATTTTTTATGAATATTATTTAAAAAAATACTTACAATTTCGATGCTGCCCAGCAGATCACAGGCGCAGTAGAAATCCGCCGGGACAAAGCTCTTCATCAGCACGAAGCTCCGAAGGGAATCCAGATGTTCTTTTTCTGTCATTTTAGTAAACACTGAGCGAATTCCACTCCTTTATTCGGACTTAGTATAATTTTGACGAAAATTTTAATCGAACCAATGTATACATTTTGAAAAACCATAAAATGCATAAAATTTAATCTATATTCGTTTTGTAATATTTTTGAGTGAACCACATTATTTTAATGGATGTCTTCGCCAGTTAGTCGACTGTCACTTGGTTTGTGGTATAGTTTACTATGAATGTTAACATTTTTACTATGAATCTGGCAATACTACTATGCTTGCTTAAAATGCATAGTAATTTTGATAGAAATAATAGTAAAATTAAATGAAATTGTTTTCTGCAAAAATCTATTGGTGAGGGTATTTAATCTAAACCATCAATATAGTATTTTTGCCAATGGATTTTGTTTCAGTGTATGATTGATATCGTCCTTGACTTCTGATGAATAGGTTTGTCATTGACCGCTATTTTACGGAAAGGCGCTGCTATCGCAGTCGATCTGTCAAAGTATGGCGAGGAAAATAACCAAACATTGCCGAAAAAAGGAAAAACATACTTCAACGTTCTTTAATTGATGCGTTTTTATTCGATTATTCCCTAAACCGTCGCTTTTCTTAGTTAAAATTATCTTCGACATATATCTTACGTGAGGAATATTAAGGTATTTCATATATGTTATAAAATCAGTACGTGGCTTCATTGGTACACCTGAAATTAAAAGGCAAACTTCCTTGCATCGATTCAGCTATGGCTACCGACATTATAAAAGGGTATGTTACTGCTTCTATTTCGGTACCGAAATATTTACACCGATTAACAATATATTTCGTATGCGTGTCCATTAGGTACTCACATCTTCAGCAAGAGCTGAATAAGGCTCGCGATAATCTCAAGGATCTAAATGAAAATATTCGCAAAATTATTGGACGTGATCCGTCGACTACTGAACAGTATAATAGCGGGAACAGGTAATGTTACTTAAGCTTAGCTTGCTAACAAATGATAGTTCTAAACATTGATATCTCTGTACAGCTTTGGAGCATATTCGCGCAACGAAGTTAGGAAACGTAATTTGGCCGGATTTGAACCAGGTAGACGCATGGAACAAGAACGTCGCTATTCCGATGTTGGTGGTCAAAATCCACCTAAACGACGAGCCGTTGGGGAAACTAAATCGGTTTTCAGCCGATTGTCTGGTCCGCCAAATCGTGATCTAGAGTACGAAAAACCGAGGATTCACTCTCGGGTTATCAAAGAACAACCAACAAGACAAGAGATCGTTGCTGCTCAGGCTGGCGATGAACAGTCCCGTGCCCGAAATCGGCGCATCTTCGGTTCCCTTCTGGGTACGCTGCAGAAATTTTCCCAGGAAGAATCCAAACTGAAGTCGAAGGAAGAGAAAAAGGCTCAGATAGAGAAGAAACTGGAAGATCAGCAGAAAGTTGAACGGGAAAATTTACGTAAAGAAAAACAATGCTTGTACACCGATCGAAAACGTCAGCAGTTGGAGATTCGCGCTTTAGAAACGAAGATGAACAAAATGAAAGATCTGGAAGCGTGGGAGGAAACGAAGAAGCCGCTTGCCAATTACATCAAGACCAAGACGAAACCACATATGTTCTATCTTCCAAAAAAGATGGACTCGAAGATGGAGAAAAAGTTAAAGGAATGCCAAGAGGAGCACGCAAGTAAGTGTTTTATAATAGTTCTTTCATTCATTTTACTTATCGTAAAATCTCTGCAGAAATGATGGAACAAAAGCGTCAAGAGGTCATGGACAGCATTGCCACTGTGGAGGCTCGTCTCAAGGCTGATCTTAAGAATTTAGAGGAAAATGCTAACCGCGATCGATCAGTTGCCACAGGTACAAATCTGAATAACTCGAAACTGGACCGTATTGCTGCCGCAGACGACGACGAAGATTACCACGAAGATGATCATGCAAACAGTTCGTATAATGACGATGATCATTCCGACGTAGCTGAAGGACCTGCACTACCTTCGGCGTTGGTGGCACCCAATTTCAAAATAACTATCCATAATAATGAGATTAAGCAAGGTAGGTTCAAACATATTTTGAGTTAACCATGATGACTAAATTGCATTTTATTCGATTAGCCGAAAAATCAGAATTATCTCCCAATATATTGCGTTTGGTCGATGGAACGGTTTCGTCATCGATGAACATCGATTCACCGTCGGAAAGTGCTTCCTATTTGACTCAGGGTGAAAACTTCCAGATCACATTCAAAACTGATCGCAATTCTGAGTGATCCGATCAGTCGCTCTCCGTACTGTCATCCCATGCAAACAACAAGCAATGCTGAATACGAAGTAGAGGATTGCCATCGATATACAGTACAATAAAAGTTAGAAACACAGGGACAGAGAGCGTATATGCATAAGCAAGTGCTTCATCGATAAAGAAAAACAAACAAACAGCATCAGAATGAGACATCATAAGGCATTGATTGCCCTTTGTTTGTTTGCGAAATAAAACCATTAGAGCCAACCGAAGTTGAAGCACTGACGAGAGTGAAGAGCAGTAATTTTTCGTTCCAAGCACACAGTTCCGTATTTCCGGATGCGTTTTCCTAGTGTACTCAAGCGTAGACTTCATAAATAATGAAGAGGAAACTATTTCAAAAACTAATAATGTAGCCGTAAAGTTATCTAACAATGCAGTGAGTAATAATAAATAACTGGTACTTTACCACGTTGATGACGTTTTCTTAAAACTACTTACCAAAAAAGCTCTGCCTGAAATATGCCCAATGGGGTAGCACCTTTCGGGAAAACATATACACTCAAGGCCCAAGCGCAATGACAGCGGAAGCGGAACGGCAGCGGCAGCGGAAAAGCCCGATCTGAGTAAGCCTACTTGTCGGATTGAAAACTAGTTAGAATCAAATCGACTTCGGTTAGGCATCTTGATGTCATTTGTGACAACTGTCAAACTTTCCGTTTCCGTTCCGCTTCCGCCCACATTGCGTTTGGGCCTTCAGGTCTTTTTTTACACGGGGGATACGTACCGTGTAAAAAAAAGCGTGTAAAAAAACCTACGAGATTTTGATTTTTCGCATGCTTAAATGTTGTTAAAAAATCGGATTTTGATGCCATTTGTAATTAAAGCATGCTATGGTCCATACAGACATATTTTAAAAATTTCTGTATTTACACCAAAAATTGTGATTTTTTTTTAAGTACACGGATAGAAATCTCCTTATACCTTTTGGCAAATTTCCATTGCTGATTATTCATAAAATGTATAAGTCAACTAATAAGCAGACGCCTTGCAAAAAGTTAATAAAGATCATGTGTCAAATGAAATGTATAAGCGGTCACACATACCTTTCATGCATTCTAATAGGACCTATGTGGTTTGTTTTATGGAATGTATAAGGCTGATACTTTGGCAAAAATGTATAAGTGAAACACATGAATTAAATAATTGATTTTCGTTTCGTGTATGCCATTCGATTACCTATAGCTTGAAACGGATAATGTGATTGGAATCAAGTCGATAGGTTGTATCGTTGTCGAGAAATCGTTAAAAACGTACCGTGTAAATCGTGGAAAACCGTGTAAAAATAACCGTGCAAAAAAAAACCGTGTAAAAAAAGACTTCAGTGTATTGCTACTTAAGGCAACTTTAACTTTTGCCTTTGGCTGGTACACGGCTGGACAAAGTGTACCATTGCACAGAGGTCCAGAAAAAGTGTCTTTTACAAAGTTGTTTCTTATAGTACGTTCAGACTACAGACGAGGCTCGGTAGCTCAGTGGTTACCGTTTCTGCTTACTGAGCAGAAGGTCGGGAGTTCAATCCCAGGCCCGTCCCCTTCCTTGCAATTTTTCACTTTGCCTTATTCTATACCCACTAGATTTTAATGAAAACAAATTCTTCTTTAACACCGATCGCATCACTTACCACAGTGTGGGTCCTGATCTAAAAATAGAAATTGGATGAGTGCGCGCGCGTGTGTGTGTGTGTGTTTGTGTATTATAATCGCTCTACCAAAAAACGATCCCTGCGTGTGCGGTGCAACCTTTCCCCACATCCAACATCCCAGTGATTTCTCGTGGAAGCGCAGAGGATTTCTCGGTTTCCTTCACAGCGAGTACCACGTCAACACATTCCTTCCCATTCTAGTTGACCTGCATTCGGACACGGCCGGCGCTGGTATTGCTAAATATTAGATCTCCAGTTCTTACACATTGAGGATGAATGTTAGTCCCAAACATCATCTGTTGGTTCTCTGTGTAATTGCAGCTGATCTGGTAATAACAGAGCAGCAACCGTGGGCGGTCAAACTCATTTTTTTTTTATAGTACGTTCAGACTACAGAGTTATAATATGTTATAGGGCTAGCTTGATGGTGGTTTCTGTGTTGCAATTATTTGACAACCGTTATAACACAAACGAAGTGACAGACGGAGCGGCTCGAAAATTTTGGTGACGAACCTGCTATTGCAATTTTTCAGTGTACCACATGGCAACACCACTACTACTGGATTGTACCACATGGCAACACTACTACTGGATTGAACTAGCATTTTCACCAAATGTACTAGAATGTTTTGGTTCTATCTCTTTCACTCTACTCAAACTGAAATGCATAAAAAAATGACAAAATGATACACTCTTTGCACACTGTCAAATAATCATTGTACACAAAATCAACTTTGTTCAAATCAAAACAAAAAAACTAACCCATCTGGTGGATGATGGCACAAGCTTCCAAGAAAATTCTATTACAGTGAACCACATTATTTTAATGGATTTCTTCGCCAGTTAGTCGTCTGTCACTTCGTTTGTGGTTATAACATGTTATAACTCTTAAGTCTGTACAGCGTTTTAAGGACTATCCACATTAGATCCGTTTGCATTGCGTCTACCAAGGTGCTATATAGGTGTTCTAATGTGTCAAATTCATGATTCAGCCATGTTGAATTTTTGTATGGGACAGCGACCGAGTTTGTTTACAATTTGCTCTAAAACCGCACTAAATTGTCCAATTTTTTTTTTTTTTTTTTTTTTTATTAATTTATTTGTACAGGCTCAATCGAATAAACTTTACAGAGCCGAGTTATCATTTGCATTATACATGATTCATGTCTTAAATCTAGAGTTAAAGGAATTGAACCGATTACTCGCGGTCGTCTCGAGGTTAGTGGAGATTTACAATTTTTTGGATGGGGAAAGGGAGAAGGAGGTTTGAAATATGATTTATTATACAAATATTTAATTAATCCTAAAACATGAACTTATTTCTATTCATCTTGAAGACAAACATAAAAAAAAAAAAAAACTACGCGCACAATACACAAACTAAACACAAGGTTAACCAAACTTACAATCTAAGGTTAGTATTCTTAAAGTAAACATATATGAGTTTCATAAACTCCAGATCACGTCTAGCCAAAATATCCCGAACTGGAACATTAGGTTGTCTACCTCGAGCCCGAAGGGAATCGCATAGCTCAGATCTGACTCCGCGATGCTCAGCACAAGACCAAAGGATGTGATCGGCGTCTTGGTAACCTTGTCCACATTCACAGAGATTGCGGTCTCCCAGCCCAACACGAAACAAGTGAGCGTTTAACGAATAGTGATTGGACATGAGGCGAGACATCAGACGAATGAAGTCTCGACCCACATCCAACCCCTTGAACCAAGGACTCTTCGACACCTTAGGGATGATCGAGATTAGCCATCGTCCCAAACTTCCTTCACTCCATTTATTTTGCCAGCTGGCGAGCGACTGTTGACGATAAATGAAGAAAAATTCATTGTAAGCGATTTGTCGATCGTAAATATCGCCTTGCATAGCGCCCACCTTAGCAAGTGAGTCCGCCTTCTCATTGCCCGGAATCGAGCAATGAGATGGGACCCATGCAAAGGTGATGACAAAAGATCTTAAAGATAAAGCACTCAGAAGCTCTCGTATTTTCATGAGAAAATACGAGGAGTGCTTTACCGGCCTCATGGATCGAATAGCCTCGACAGAACTGAGACTATCCGTAAAAATAAAATAATGATCTGGTGCAAGTGAGGCGATCGTTTCTAGCGTATAATGTATTGCCGCCAGCTCAGCAACATATACGGAACAAGGAGCTTGAAGCATTCGAGAGGCGCTGTGAAATTCGTTATAAATACCAAAACCAGCGGACGCCTCTATTAATGATCCATCTGTGAAGAACGATCTTGCGGAATCAACTTGGCCAAACTTTGCAGCGTAAATTGACGGAACAATCATGGAACGATGATGTTCTGGGATCCCACGAATCTCCCGCGTCATGGATAAATCAAAACTAACTGAATTGCCGAAGTCGGAGAAGCATACACGATGAGGATTATGCTGTGAAGGGCTGACATCCTGAGTTATGTACACGTAGTACAATGACATAAAACGAGTTTGAGGGTTTAGCTCAAGAAGCTTCTCAAAGTTTTCGATTACCAGTGGGTTCATAACTTCACAACGGGTGAGGAGCCTGAGGGACAATTCCGAAAACCGATCCGATAGTGGCAACATGCCCGCCAACACTTCGAGACTCATCGTATGAGTCGAGTGCATGCATCCTAACGCGATACGAAGACAACGATACTGGATACGTTCCAGTTTGATGATGTGAGTTTTAGCCGCCGACTGGAAGCAAAAACTACCGTACTCTAAAACCGATAAAATCGTTGTCCGGTACAACGTTAGAAGATCTTGCGGATGAGCTCCCCACCACGTTCCGGTAATTGTTCGGAGAAAATTGATCCGTTGTTGGCATTTTCGTCTCAGATACTCAATGTGGGATCTCCAGGTGCATTTGGAATCGAACCAGACCCCAAGATATTTGAAAGACATGGAATGAGTGATCGGTTTACCCAAAAGTTGAAGCTTTGGTTGTGCTGGGCTATGCTTCCTAGAAAAAACGACCAACTCAGTTTTCTCCGTGGAGAATTCGATACCTAGCAGGATAGCCCAAGTAGACAAATTGTCTAAGGTATCCTGTAAGGGTCCTTGCAGGTTGACCCCTTTGGGCCCTGTCGTAGACACTACGCCATCATCTGCAAGTTGTCTCAACGTGCAGTTGTCACTTAGACAATTGTCAATTTCTCTGACGTAGAAATTATACAAAAGGGGGCTTAAACATGAGCCCTGGGGGAGACCCATGTAACTAAATCGAGAAGCTGTAGAGTTTCCATGAGAAAAGCTCATGTGTTTCTCTGACAGCAAATTGTACAAAAAGTTATTAATTAATGGGGAAAGGCCACAAGCGTGGAGTTTGTCTGAAAGGACTTCAACCGATACTGAATCAAAAGCCCCCTTAATATCCAAGAACACAGAAGCCATTTGCTCTTTTTTAGCAAAAGCCAACTGGATTTCTGTGGAAAGCAACGCGAGACAGTCGTTCGTTCCCTTACCCCTACGGAAACCAAATTGAGTATCTGAGAGTAGGTGGTTCGTCTCAACCCATTTGTCGAGGCGAAAAAGGATCATTTTCTCCAACAATTTTCGAATGCACGATAACATCGCGATGGGACGATACGAGTTATGATCTGACGCGGGTTTTCCAGGCTTTTTAATGGCTATAACTCTCACTCGCCTCCAATCATCTGGAACAATATTGAACTCCAGGAACTGACAAAACAAGTTCAACATGCGCCTCTTAGCGACGTCTGGGAGGTTCTTCAACAAGTCGAACTTGATCCTATCA